TTTTTTTTTTTTTTTTTTGCAGTACGCGGGCCTCTCCCTGTTGTGGCCTCTCCCGTTGCAGAGCACAGGCTCCAGACGTGCAGGCTCAGGGGGCATGGCTCACGGGCCCATCTGCTTCGCGGCATGTGGGATCTTCCTGGACTGGGGCACGAACCAGTGTCCCCGGTATTGGCAGGTGGACTCTCAACCACTGCACCACCGGGAAGCCCCTCAGACCACATTTTTTAACAAGATACTTTTCATCCAATATCTTATCATAGTCAAAAAATTTCCCCCAGATAATAGTAATCATGATAAATGCTTAATTTACCATTGAAATTTTTACTGTTTTTAGTTTTTCCCTCAGGCTGGTACTGCATCATGGATGTTGTAGTGGAAAGATTAATTGGACTTGGTTCTTTGGGCCACCCATTTTTAAATGATCTCCCTTTTTACCTTTGCTGGATTGGCTAGGCCACTCACTAATCTGAATCCCAGAAAGCATTTCGTAAGAGGTGTGTCTGGAAATCTGGCTTTCAGCTATCGGCTTCTGATGATTTTCAAAAGCTATTACTTAGAGTTTCATTTAACTTAGGTCCCCCCCAAAGACCCAAACTGAACCTAAAGCCTCGGAGTACTCCTAAGGAAGATGATTCCTCTGCTAGCACGTCCCAGTCCAGTCGAGCAGCCTCTATCTTTGGAGGGGCAAAGCCTGTTGACACAGCTGCTAGAGAACGAGAAGTAGAAGAGCGGCTACAGAAGGAACAGGAGAAACTGCAGCGTCAGCTGGATGAGCCAAAACTAGAACGACGGCCTCGGGAGAGGTGAGGTGGTCTTGTATTACGGATCTCAGCCTGTGAGTTGTTTTTTTTTTTTTTTTTTTTTTTTTTTTTTTTAATCCTGAGTATTTTAACATTTATTTATTTTACTTATTTGGCTGTGCCGGGTCTTAGTTGCAGCACACAAACTCTTATTCGTGGCATATGGGATTGAATTCCCTGACCAGGGATGGAACCTGGGCCCCCTGCATTGGGAGTGCAGAGTCTTAGCCACTGGACCACCAGGGGAGTCCCCAATCCAGTGATTCTTAATGGGGGGCTTACATCCCCAGGGGGCACTTGGGAAATTCATGTGGGTGTTACTGGTTGTCACTTCCTAGCATTAGTGTGGGGGGGGTGGGGCTACTAGGTGGTCTGCAGCGTGTGGGAAAGTTTCTTTACCCAATGAAGAGTTGTTGTTTATGCCTCATGATTTTCAAAAGGCCTTCTGGGCCCTGGTGGTACTTTAATACAAGAGTCTGCAAATTGTGGCCTGTACCTGTTTTTATAAATAAAGTTTATCTGGCCCTTTAAGAAAAAATTTGCCAAACCCTGCTTTATTGTGTAGAGTAAAACTCCACCATAGTGAGGTGAATGGATTTACCTCTTTTCAAGTTATTAGGGATGGAGTAGACAAAATGTTTTCACTGATACTAAGTGTAGGCTGTAAATTATTTTCCAGTTATTTTTATTTGTGTGTATGTTGGTTATATTATCTGTTATTTCAGGATAGTGTAAAGGAGTGTTTATTATTAAAAAGGTGGCATGACATCCAATAGGGTAGACACCTCCTATAATACGCTGAAAAGCTAGGCCTGATTTTGAGCAATTTGCGGAATTGTGTTACCACTAAGGGAGGGCAGAGTCATAGGTTATGTAGGGGAATGTTCTTAACCCTAGCTGACACTTGCTGAGGCACTTGTCCTGCTGTCCAAAAGTAGAGCATTCCTACAGAACCTCTTACAAGCAAAATGGTGTAAAGTGAAGAAGCAGTTATTTTAGGACACATCTTGCTAACAGGTAATATGACTTTTGCTGCAAAACAGTCGCTGAATGCTATTTTCGCTTTTCGTCTTTTTTTGTAAAAGCAGAAATCCTCTTTGGATTTCTTTCGGTTAGCAGCAGCATATATGGATCTTTCTGTAAAAGTGAAGTGGCATAAAGGAAACTTTGGAAAAGCAGGGGATACCTGTATTTAGAACCAAAGAATGTTAATGTCTGCCGCTTTCAAGTGGTTTGAGCAAAAGAGACAGGTGCATGCACCCACACATAAATAAAGCCAGCACGATAAAATATTAGTAAGCGATAGTTCCTGAGGGGTCGGCATGGGTCCAAGGTGGCCTTCACTGAGCTGGACATGATGTGTTTTGTCAAATCTCTTTTATACAGACACCCAAGCTGGCGAAGTGAAGAAACTCAGGAACGGGAACGATCGAGGACAGGAAGTGAGTCATCACAAACGGGGACCTCATCCACATCTGGCAGAAGTAAGTCAGACCAGGGTGGGTATCTCATTATTGCCCTTTTCCATAACCTATCCATAACCAAATTATGCAGAGATTTTGGAGTATTAGCATAGATTGATCTGACTTTCACATCTGCTTTGAAAAGTCTGAGAAATGTGTACCAGAAGAGACTTTTGTTATGGGTGTGTGTGCATATGTGCATTGAGCCTCTATGTGGAAGTTGATCAGTGGTTCCTCGAGTTTACAATTTCATTGTAGGTCCCCTTCACATACATATATGTATCCTTCTTCAAGTACCAACGTTCTAACATGGAGAATACAGAAAGATGATAATCCTAAAATAAAGAATTCTTCCTAGGAGAGGTCAGATAGCTGTCCTTGGAGTGTCATTATTTTTCCTATTTCTCTTGCATCAGTAAAACATTTTCGCCAGAGGACATTTGGAAACCAGTTTGGGGATAATTGTATCTATTGGGAATCAAATTCAGGTCTGTATTTAAAAATAATGATAGAGGGGCTTCCCTGGTGGCGCAGTGGTTGAGAGTCCGCCTGCCGATGCAGGGGACACGGGTTTGTGCCCCGGTCCGGGAAGATCCCACATGTCGCGGAGCGGCTAGGCCCGTGAGCCATGGCCGCTGAGCCTCCGCGTCCGGAGCCTGTGCTCCGCAGCGGGAGAGGCCACAACTGTGAGAGGCCCGCGTACCACAAAAAAAAAAAGAATAACGATGAACAGCAGTAAACTCAGATGTGGACCGTTTGCCACTCTGTTGAGGTCTTAATAGATTGTTGTCCAATAAGCCCTTTTCTCCTGATGCTTTGACCTTCCCATTCTGACTTCACAGATGCACGAAGGAGAGAGAGTGAGAAGTCTCTAGAAAATGAAACACCCAATAAAGAGGAAGACTGTCAGTCTCCAACTTCTAAGCCTCCCAAACCTGAACAGCCTCTAAAGGTAATGCCAGCCCCTCCACCAAAGGAGAATGCTTGGGTGAAGCGAAGTTCTAACCCTCCTGCTCGATCTCAGAGCTCAGACACAGAGCAGCAGTCCCCTACAAGGTGAGTCAGCTTGGAAACATAGCAGTTGGTTGGCTATAGACTCTTCAGTGCTGTGCTATCATTGGTGGAAGGTGCCCTGTGGGGTACTGGCCTTATGGCATCTGATAAGTTCTGCCATCTTTGCTGTCATAGTTCAAATTCTGTGGTGTGCCGGTGGTTCAGTTTTCTGGAGTTTTGATAGCTGGTTAACATCACTTTGGTTTCTCAATCTGCACACACTATAAATCGAAACCCGCCAATGCCACATTCTGGCAGTACAGCCTTGGGGTCACATCACTTCCCTAAGTTTTAGTATTCTCATTTGTAAAGTAGAGGGATAAGATTAACCTAGCATGACTATGATAATTCTAAAGGACACGACATTTGGTCAAGTTCACATAATGGCTTTCATTGTTGCTTTCCCATATTTTAATGTTTCACGGCATTAAGTATGTATTTTTGGTTCTCTGTAAAACTTCACTTGAAGTAGAAGTTTCTTATCTGTTCCTTCCCTAAGATAGCTGATGGATGTGATTACATGTTTTCCTTCTAGTGGTGGAGGGAAAGTAGTTCCAGCTCAACCATCTGAGGAAGGACCAGTAAGGAAAGGTAAGGCCAAGAGGGGAGTAGGTTATTCGCCCAGATAGAGGCCTAAATAAAAAAGTCCCCATTAGAGGAGTCACAAAATACTGAATATCATTGTATTTTGCACCCATTTTTTTGTGATAAAGGTTCTTTGATTGTCTGCCTTTTCTTTCCAGTAGAGGGCAGGAGTGGCCTCTTTGGAGAAAACATAGAGCCCTGCCCTTTCCTGGTAGAACATTTCTTTGAAAGGGGAAAAAAAAAGAATCGGAAGGAAATTGACATGCTCAGTCCAGATTAGAAATGTTGCCATCTGCAAGGCCAAGGTCACTACACAGCATCATAGTCCTTATTTCCACTTTGCTTTTTATGATGGCATAACCCCACGGTGGAATTTTTTTAGCGGATCTTGTTTGCGGTGTGTGTGTGTCTGTGTCTGATAATAGAAGGGAAGAAGGGCTTAGGAAGGAAATCTGGATTGGGGTTAGTTTTCATCTCCCTCAGTATATATGGGCACATTTCTCTTCAGGTTAAGGGAAACCTGGGAGAGGAAGAGTGTCTATTTTACTGACTTCCATTTATTTTTGTGTCTCCACTCAAGCAGATGAAAATAAAGTAGATGGGGTGAGTGCCCCAAAAGGCCAAAGTGGAAATTCCAGCCGTGGTCCAGGAGATGGAGGGAACAAAGACCTCTGGAAGGAGTCAGATAGGTACGTGTGTTCCCTCCTCATTTGTAATCTTTGGTCTGATGCTGGATACCTGTGTCTTTGTATGAGAAAGTTCTTGGTTCTCCAAGCCTTGCCAGATCTCCCACTGTGAACCCATTAAAGTCAACCAATATAGTCAGTCAGAATTCTGAGAATCTAGATTACAAAATGTCCAGATAGCCAGAACTGTTGATTAGAGGTGCCTCTTCAGTACCTCAGAACTGCTTGTGAGTGTTGGGAGAGTCCTCTCCTAAAGCTGTTCGTGTCTCTGCAGGAAAGATGGCAAAAAGGATCAAGACTCCAGATCTGCACCTGAGCCAAAGAAAGCTGAAGATCCAGCCTCTGTGAGTGTCAAAGACTTGCCCTCAACTTCTTGTAGCTTGCTTTTGCCATTGAAACCCTGTACATTTGGGCCTGCAAACAGAGTGGTTGGAAATAGGCATTGCTGCTTGTTCTTATCGATCTTGTCTATTACAGAAGTTCAGTTCTGCAAGCAAGTATGCTGCTCTTGCCGTTGACGGTGAAGATGAAAATGAGGGAGAAGATTACACCGCTAAATTTCCACTGATATTACATTTTTAAAGAAATTTTCTTTTCACTAATGAAGGTTGTGTTACTTACAAGTTCCATAGCAATTTTTCTTATTGCAGACATTTAAAAAAGTCACTATACCTTATATCACCAGTGTAGCCAGAGAGAGACGTACAGCTTTTAATGCTGTAAGTTTAAAGTTGTGGTGCATTTTTATGACACGTGCAGTTGCCTGTGTGATTAGTGCCTAGGGGCCTCCGTTTAGCAAGATGGCAGTGATAGTGATGCAGTGTCTGGAATCTAGTTGGGCAGTAGGCAGGTATAAGGAAGAGTGTGAGGTTTCTACCTTTAATTCTTATCCTGTTGTGGCATACATGAATTAGCAAACAGTATCTGAATAAATTCTCCATTCTTGGCAAGGTAGGTTTAGTCTCTGATGTTGTTTTAGTCTCCAGGAGGCTGCCAGCCCCACCTCTCATTTAATTCTGAGTTACTGGGGCCAGCCTAAGGGGGAGTTCCTTCATTCGTGCCCCCCAGGGGGGTAGGTGGTAGTGAGTCTACAGGCCACTGAAGAATAGGACTATTTGGTGACCAAAGTAAATGGGGAAATCGTGATTTGAAAAGAAGCTTGGGGATTTGATGAATTATTTTGCACCAGTAACAGGGAAAATGGTATGACCTCCAGTAAGCACATAATCGTTTACCTCCTGGAGCAGGAAGCACTTAGGGGTGTGGGAATTCCCAGGTCTTTTATGTGTCCTGGTTTCACCCTTTCTTAGACACTATCCCTTTTGAAAGTTCAAATATATCCACATTCTGTTGAAATCTTGGAGCTTTAAAAATTTAGACTCTTGTCATCATCTTATGTTCCTCATGCTACTCTTTCCTGTTAAGCTTCCTACAGGCAGCTTCTGCTTAAGTCACATACTTGACCTCCTAAGCATCCTCTAGAGCCCCTGGGAGCTGTCCACTGAGGAATCATCACTGCTTTTTCTCAAGCAAATCTTGCCTCCTTCATGCTTTGACACTCCTTCCCTCCAGCCATTCGTGTTCCTGCTGCTTTGACCCCTTTTACGCCTCAGAAAACTTTAGAATTACCAGTCTTAGGTGGTGAGCGAGGGTGATTAAATTGGGAGCCTTTCTTACAACCTTGATTGGGGTTTGAGGGGCTTTTTAAAAAACAAAAGTTTCCTTCTCTCCAAGTGAAATCCCACACCAATGTTTGGATTTATAATGTGGCCTAGACCAATGTGTGGTTTTTTTGGTTCTGTTTTTTTAGCATCCCCTTGAGAGAATAAATGATAATGGAGAAGAACAATTTCACAAGGTCCTGGCTTCTCTTGCAACACAGTAGCTTTACTTGCCTGCTTTTATGTGCACCTTGGTACTGTCAGCTCAACAGATGGTGTCCTTACAGGCAATATTGGTACCTGCAGAGAAAAGACACCTTGGTCTCTTCTCGCATCAGTCCTAGGTTAGACCCTTTACAGCCGTGCAGGGGTGTTGGTTTATGAGTGCTGCAGCAGTGAGCATAATGAATCATTTACCCAGTGGACATAAAAGACATACCAAGTGAAGTAACTTTAAATAATTGGCTTGGAGTGGGTAGTAGCTAGGAAGTGGCTTTTAGAGATACCCAAGGTTGAGAGGATTTTTTTTTTTTAACCATTTGCTATAGATGATGAAAAAGTAGGGTTTGCCCTCTTCATGTCTGCTTCCAAATAGATGTGTCCAGAAAAGCTGTTTTTTCCCCCATTCCTCTACCCTGCCACCCTGTTAAAACAAACAGGGATTTATGACCCGCTCCTCAATACATGTAAAATTTGTACAAAAATATCTTCTATGAAAATGATTTGTAATCTGTAGACTTAATACCTGGGAGATGTCTTGAGATGTAAAATCCCATCCTTCAGGTTGTGGGGTTTTTTGTTTTCTCCAAATAAATCTGATCTTTAAAGTTCACTTTAATGCTTGAGTGTCTTGGCGTGCATGCCTCATGCTGCGTTTTTTATTCCACTCCCTATTGATAGTCTGCTCTACACACACACACACACACACACACACTATTCCACTCCCTGCTGATAGTCTGCTCTAACACACACACACCTTTCTGAAGTTCCCTCTCAGTACTGGATACCATTTTATGCAGGTGGAGTGTGGGAGTACAAGAGGAATCCGTTAATTGAGGGCCCAGAACTGGGAATTTGCAGAGCACAGGCTCCGGACGCGCAAGCTCAGCGGCCATGGCTCATGGGCCCAGCCGCTCCACGGCATGTGGGATCTTCCCGGACCGGGGCACGAACCCGCATCCCCTGCATCGGCAGGCGGACTCAACCACTGCGCCACCAGGGAAGCCCTCCCCTCCATTTTTACCTGGTGTTTACCTTTAATACTTGAGAGTATCTGTGTTCCATTTCCTGTACCGTTTATTTTAGTCATAAAATTAAGCGGGAACTCTAGGGATAAATCCTCATGTCCTTGAGGTGGTGTCTCCATAAACCTCCACCCTTCAGTCTGGAGAGGTGATGTGTCTGCTGCCCTAGGCTATACCACACAGGCAGAGTGGAGTTACGGTTGACAGGGTGGTCTGGGTTACAACTGAGGCCACTTAATGCACAGGCAGTGGGAATTTTCCAAACAGCTAGGGACAGACTGTTCATTGTTGCAAGGCAGGAAAGAGGTTAGGACAGTGGCAGAGAATCCTTAAGGTCACAAGGGTCTGGGAGCACAAAACGCCACGGAAACCTCAGTCGACAATTTTGGGGACTTGGAGCCAAGAGGAAGTGTGGGGCGGGAGGTGTAAGGAGATGGAAGCACAGTGACACAGGTGGATATCCTGGGCCAACGGCAGCAGCAGCTGCTCTTGTAGTTTATTGCTGGTGTGTTGACTTCTGCAGTCGAGCGATAAGTGGCTTGGTGTGCTGTGATCCCTGTGGGTAGGGAGGAAAAGCTCCAGCCCAGGCTGCCTGTACCTACAGCCTACAAGGCAGCGCTTGCATACTGCAGCTCCACCGCAGGCAGCAGCCTCAGTCACATCCTCCAAAGCCTTCATTTCAAGCCACTCCCCTGACTGTGTAATACTGAGGTCTTGGTAAATGATGGAAAAAAGGATGAAGCTAGGAAAGGCTGACGGGAAAGAGGTTCATGTTGGTTGTGCACAGAAAAGGCAGGGAAGAAAACTCCCTGTACTATGGCCCAACAGGGTACTCTTAAGTTCAAGGGAAAGGTAGGCACCGGTATGGCCCCCATCCTGAGTCATAAGAGTGTGTGGACTCTTTCAGAAGCCCAACTGTGGAAACGGGTCCCAGGATGGGTCAGCCCTGTCAACCTACGTAAATCTTGAGCCATCAGAGGCTGCAGGTTTGGCATCAACCTCAGTCTGGTCGGGTCCCTCGCGTATTCCAATCCACATGGCCTAGTTTCTTCTAAACAGAGTCAAACACTAGGCTCTGGATCCCAAGGCAGGGTCCCAGTTAGTTAGTGCTGAGGGCGTCACGTCGAGCGCTAAGTGAGCTCACAGCATCTGGTTTCTCAGGAAGTGGGAGAGCTACATACACATCTGCTCCTGGGAAGCATTATTTCTCAAATAAAACCTTGTTTCTCAGCAACCATTGTAGCCCCCAGGGCCACAGGTGTGGAGGGAAGACTTGCCTTCCCTCACCCCCCAGCCTCAGCAGAAAGAGCGAGCTTGGAAGAGGCGAGCTGTGCAGCTCCCCGCCCAGCTGCAGCAACCTCCCAGCTGGACAATATATCCTCTGTCCTCAGCTAGGAGATCTGCCTCTGGAGCCAGCTCTCTCCCTTACCCCACTCTTCCTGGTTCCCAGAGCCCAAACCCTCCCCTGAAGTTCCCCTGACCTCTTCCAGCCAGACCAGCCTACTCCCTCAATGCTCTTCTCCTATAGTCTCCCACCCCCAGGATCTGAGCACACTCAGTCACAGGCATGGGATCACCCCAGCCCAGGGAAGAGGGGGTTCAGCCTTCCGTGCCAGGATGGGCTGCCCCCTGCGTAGTTAAGGTAAGAAAACCGGCATGAAGGGTCAGAGGGTGTTCCTCAACTTGTTTCACCTTCACTAACACGATCCTGCTTTGCTCCTCCCTTTCCCCTTCCTTTCTAAAGTTCCCTCTGCTCTGAGCTGGTAGTCAGGATGCCTGGCTGGCCCTATGTGCCACGTGCCACCCATTATAATTTCACCCCCTCCAAGCCGCCTTCTATATTTTCTCACTCTCAACCTTCCTCATCAGCTTCCCCTCTGCAGCCCCCCTTCCCCCATCCCCACATTGAGAGCAGGAGTCAAGTCTGAGCTGGAAGTTCCGCTACCCATCTTACGACCCTCCCCCAATTCCTTGGAACCTAAGAAGTTCCTCTTAGCGAGAATTCCCTGACGGTCCAGTGGTTAGGAGTCGGGGCTTTCACTGCTGAGGGGCCGCGTTTGGGAAAAAAAAAAAAATTTCCTTAGGGGCAGCAATACCAGCACGAGTGTGAGGCTCTGGCCCTCCCATCGTTCTGGGATCCAGTCAGGTACGTTTTCTTTGGGTCCCAGTCTCTCTACCCTTTGGCGTGCATCCCAGGGCCCAGCCAAAGACCCTAATGAACTCTGGGAAGAGCAAGATTTTAAAAGAGGTAGACTTAGGCTCCAAAGAACTGACTGAATTTTCATATCTTGGCTATCTCGATTACATAATCAAATCTTACCAAAATACACAGAATGACCTTCAGCCTTGCCCCTTCGCCAGTAGCCTCTGATCCCCGTGGTTCTCCTCTCTCCTCTGGACTTCTCCAGACTCTGGCCTCTCACCTTCTCCCAGTGCCTCCCTACCTCTTCCCTCCCCCGCTCCGTTCCAATCCCCCAGCCCTTCCTCCAGATCCCAGTGACTCCTGCCGCTCTAATCTCTGCCTATTGGACACCAACTCAGTCAAGAGCAGTAAGATCAAGGCTCCCCGGTCCCAGCCACACCTACCCCTCCCAAATGCCAGTCTCTGGGGGACCTGCATTGTCACCATTCCCAGCCACACCTACCCCTCCCAAATGCCAGTCTCTGGGGGACCTGCATTGTCACCATCCGCAGCTTCCCAGCCTCTTCCCTGTTGCCAGATTAGAATCAGGTGCCCCACTCCCTCATAATCAGAACCAGACTTCTCAACCTTTGCCAAAGGCTAGATGAGCACAGAAAAGACCCAGCTGAGAGAGGAGACAGGAAGGGATAGAAGGCCTTAGCGCTGGCGATACTGGCTGCCTTGAGCAGGCATTGGGCATTGAGGCCTGGGCACCGGTTCCTCAGAATCCGCCTGCCCCCCTCCCCCGCCAGTTTTCATCATGGAAAATCCAGTGGGGAGGGTGAGGGAGAAAGTGTCAGGAAGTGCTCACTGCTAAAGAACACTGGGGAACCTGGGAATGGGAATAGATTGACTGAGCTTTTAGAAAGACATCCTTTCCCTCTACCTTCCCCTCCAGGGTGGCACAACTCAAACCAGCCCCACAGCCCATTAACTCAACTCCAGGCAGTTCCTATCCAGTACCAGATCCAGATACTGCAAAAGAAGTGAATGAGATTAGACCACAGAATAAATTTCCATGTCCACTGGAAAGCCTGGAACTTGAGTTAAATGAAAGGAAGACTTTAATAGTATTATCCTAGGGAACAGGAATGACAGTCCAGGTCCAAAGCAGGGCGATGTTTGGGCTGACTTGGAGCAGCTTAGGCGTGGGGTTGGTAGGTTGAACTTGACCTGAAGGTCTTCAGCTGTGAGTCCTTTGGGGGAGACTAGGTGGCACTCAGAGAAGTCTCCCGTGGCAGAGGACCAGAGGAGTGCGTCCAGCGACTTGGGACATAAGTGATAGCAGATGCCTTCGTTTGAAGCCCCGGTGGGTAGGTGGTGCTAGCCCCACTAGGCCAGGCCGCAGGTGGCCCCTGATTTCGGGGTCAGGCCCACTCCCAAACACATTCCTGTGGAGGGGCCGAACTGAGAGAGGCCGAGGCAGTCCTCTGCACCCTTGTTTCTAGTGCCTTCTGGACCTGTGTCCACCTTTTCTTCTGCGTCTGTTTGGCTCGTAAGTTTTTTTGCCTGTGTTCCTCTGGGTCAGTCTCTTCCGGACTCTGAGATTTTCCTGTCCCTGTGTTCTCCGCGTCCACCTCTCCCAAAATCT